CGTGGTTTTGGCCACCCACCCCCTCGTCTGCCGTGTCGGCCTTTATAGGTGCTCGCTAAAAGCACTTGCCCCTACAGTCTGTTAAGGCTTTCGGGGGATCTTTGTCTTTTATGGGCGTGTTGTGCGTGTATTATGCGTGTGTCGTGTGTGAAGTGTAAATGTATGGGGAGTGTGTTGTGAGTGCATGTGTGTTTCTATGTTCATGCTTGTGTCTATGTGTGTCTGTTTGTGTGTGTGTCTGTCTATGTGTGTCTGTTTGTGTGTGTATCAGTGCGCATGTGTATGACTGTGCAATTTGTCTGCGTGGGTGTGTGTATGTGGGAGCGGTAGTGTAGCAGTTAGCGCGCTGCGCTACGGACCCAGCAACCCAAGTTCTATTCCCGCTCACGGTCAACACAGTGGTGAAATATTTAAATGAACCTGGGCCAGCCCTAGGTTGACTCAGCATTAAATGAGCACCTCGTCCCGTGTGTAAACATCAGCTCTGGGGAGGCAAAGGCGGCTGGGCGTGGTGCTGCCCATCCACCCCCTCGTGTGCCAATGCCGGTCTTAATAGGTGTTCGCTAACAGCACGTGTCCCAACAGTCTGTTAAAGGCTATGTACAGACAACGATCTTCATACTTTTTTGGCCAGCAGCGATGTATGGTAGATGTGGCAATATAGGTTGTGATGAGAGGGAAATGGAAATGGATGAGAGATTTGAGAATATGGATAAAATCATTGGTGGAGGAGAGATAGATCCGGTGGGGGCGGGGGGAGGGGAGTTGGGGGATGGATCGAGGGAGAAACGGAACGGACCGAGACTTCGAGAGACGGAGGGAATCTCTGGACGCGAGCAGATAAAGGGGGAGGGCAACGGATGGGTCGTTAGGAACGGGATGAGAGGCTGCGTGCTGGGAAGTTACGGATGACGGAGAGAATCGATTATAAGACGGCGGGGCTAAGAGGCATATAGAAAAGGCGGAGATAAATGGCGAGATGGATAGAAGGTGGAAAGCATGAATAATCTCTCGAGGTACAGATTTACGACACAAACACAAACATCTATCTTAAACACGCGTTGTTACGCTGATAAACACGAATTATTCCAACTGTCGCGATACAACAAGCTCTGTTCTGTCCTCTCCACATAGGACAACTTTGCAATGTTATGTTTTGCTCCACACATCAAAGGAAACGATTGTATCTTTTTAAGGAGGTAGCCGAGTCTGATGAATCACACTCGTGACAACACGGACGTATGCGCACGAACAACAGAATTCCACACCAATGGCTTCTATGCAGCATCCGTCATGTGTCCACGTCCATCATTGCACGCAGCCAGAAATCAGTGAAAGCACCACGTCTGTCATCACCACCGTCGCCATCACGTCACCGTCACTCTCCTTCTTGATCGGCATCGTCATGATGATGATCATCGTCGTCATCGTCAGCAGCGCCCTCGCATATGCACCCCATCTCATTGCTCACACTCAGATGAAGTGTACATTGGGCCCCACGGTTAAGGCATTACAGCCCCAATGTCAACGTACCGATGGCTGGGTTGAAGGTTTCGAGCCGTACACTCTCCTTTGCCCGTACTTCACTGGGCTATCGAAGGGGGAGAAACTGCGGACTGTTTCAGTGACCACCCGCTAGCTTGATGCGAGCCATGCCCAGGATCCAAACTCGTCAGGGGGCGCCACAGTGCGCGAGATGTTAACTACCTCGCAGGTACGCAGGAGTTCGTGGGTTTGATCCCGATCCCCGACTCCTGCTGTATATTTGGAGTTTGCGGTGTCTCTCTCTCTCTCCGTGGTCGTGTGGATTTTGCTCCGGGTCCTCCGGTTTCCCCCTCCACATTTAGAAACGTGCGTTTAGAGTATTTGGCTTATATAAATGTCCACACGACAAGCCACTTCATTGGGCTATCATTTGTGTTCGCTTCCGAAAAATTGCTATACAGCTCAGTGTGCCTAACCTGGTAAAATAAACAATAGCGTAAGTGCGCTAACCGCTGCGCCACCACTCCACCACAGGAGACTGTCATCACTTGAAATTGGCAACAAAGTCTTCCCTATAGCCCTTGATACTGTTGGGGAAGGTTCAGGTTCGGGAGCACATGTTGAGGCCGACACAGCAAACGATGGGTTGTGGGTGGCGAGAACCACTCTCCCGTGCTGCTGTGTACACACCACCACACCAAGCGCTCATTTAAGGCTCAGCCCACCTACGGGAGGTCCAGGACTAGTTCAAGACACACGTCACTGATGTTGGCCATGAACGGGAATTCACCTCTGGATGGCATGTTCTTAGCACAGCCGTTGCACTACCGCTCTACTCCCGACCCCACACAGAGCGTAGGGGCAAGTGTTGTTAGCGAGCACCTATGAAGGTCGGCACGGCACACGAGGGGTTGGGTGGCCAACACCACGCCCGGCCACCTTTGTCTCCCCAGCGGTGATGTTTACACACCGCACCAGGTATTCATTTGAGGCTGAGTCGACCTAGGGGAGGCCCATGACCGATTCAGATAATCATCACCGGTCTCGGCTGTGAGCAGGAATCTAACTCGATTTGTAGCGCAGAGCACTAACCGCTCCCCTCCACAAAGACAAAGATCCTCCGTATAGCCTGAACATACTGCAGGGGCAAGTGCTATTAGCGAGCACCTACAAACCAGCACGGCTTACCAGGGCGTGTGGGGCCAGCACCACGCCCGGCCGCCTTTGTCTTCATAGTGGCGATGTTTACACACCCTCCACACGCACGCGCTGGGCTATGCTTGCCAAGAGCCCATTTAGCATTTTGTAAACAGATGGAGAATCCAGATTAACATCCCCAGTTAAGGGCGGCGCATTCCTTTTAATGTCGTGCCGACTTCTCGTCCCTGGGCGCTCTAAGCCGGAGGCGCCCCGCGAGGGACGGCCGCTCCGAGCCACCCCGTGTGCCCGACTCCCAGGAGGTCTCCGTGGGTCCCGGAGTGGAATTGATTGCCTCTAGTGCACGCGCGGCTGAGCGCACCGCGCTAGAGAATAAACCCCAAATCTCGTCCCTGAGTTCGATTCCTCAGCCACGACTCGCACAATCAAGTGATGTTTCTTTTTCACCGGTACTGGGACTGCCCGCTCATGGGGAAGTATGGTCAAATTAATCTCGTGGAATGGGGGTGGGTGGGGGGTACCTTCATGCAGCAGAGGATTGGTAAAGAGCTGTGAATGATATTCAGGTGTTGTATATCACGTTTCGCGCGTCACCTGCAGACACGAGAGGCGCTACTAATCGGCGCGATGTGAAATGCGAGAAAAAAACCATCCACGGATTGCATCGTCACGCTGATTTTGCGATAATTTAATCAAAATCGCCAGCGAGGTGTATCGTTTCAACCCCTGGTATATACTGAAAATAGATACATACGCGAATGCGTTGAGCCCCTTGCACGGACATTTAGAGAGTGGTGGAATAGTGGTTAGCGCATCCACAATGAGGACCCAGTTTCAATTCGGGGCGACGATGCAAATCGCCGATGGAAATCGCTACCTGACCCAGGCTTTCATTCACCCTCGCTTCGCGCACCACCACGTGAGTAACTGTTCCAGTGTAAATCTTCACAATCTGCACACTATTAAAGCGTGTACCATATGTAAGGGCATTCAACGCCTTAATATGCACTTGTTAACATTAATTGCTATAAAAAAATACTAAGTTCGGATATTGCTATTTATGCATAGTGATTTTAATTGCGCGACTGATTTATAATTCAGCGACCAAATGAAAATAATTGTAATAATCTGCCAAGGGCAATTCAAATCAGGTGATAATTTGATTAGCTCGCAGGCATAATATTTCACGAAATCACGCAAAGGGGTCAAGCATTACTTTCCAGTGCCGTGGACAGATGAATGGCTTTCCGTTGGGTGATTTATTGCTCTGCCCAATTAACAGGTGGACACCCCTATTTGCTGCTTTGGCCGAGTTCCCAAACGTGTTCACATTAAAACCCAACACACAAAGACAAAAGATCCCCCGTGTAGCCTTAACAGACTGTTGGGGTAAGTACTGCTAGCGAGCACCTATGAAGGCCGGCACGGCTTACGAGGGGGTGTGGGTGGCTAACACCACGTCCGGCCGCCTTTGTCTCCCCAGTGGTGATGTTTTACACACCAAACCAGGTAGTTATATGAGGCTGAGTCGACCTAGAGGAGGCCCAGGACCGATTCAGATAATCGTCACTGGTGTTGGCCGTGAGCGGGAATCGAACTCGGGTGGGCGGGTTCGTAGTGCAGCGTGCTAACCGCTACACCACCGCTCCCCAACACACAGACGCCTCCCAAGTCCACTGGTCGATAAATATATGTAGCACAAATAGCCTAACATCACGTATCAGTCGGTGTCGACGTTTGTGTATGAATGGAGAGGATAGTCTGATGTGAAGAGGTGTGCCTGTGCTCTCTCTGGAGGCCACAGAGACTGGGAATTTGTGGTTCGTTAGCTATATTCATTGAGGAGTGGTGGTGCACTGTTTAGCGCACTGCGCCATAACCCCAGTGACCCGAGTTCGATTCCAGCTCACGACCAATAACAACTGTCGGATATTTTAACCAGTCCTGGGCCTCACCTAGGTTTATTAAGCCTTAAATGAGAACCTGACCAGGTGTGGCGCTGGCCACCCACCCCCTTGTGTGCCGTGCTGGCCTTCATAGGTGCTCGCTAACAGCACTTGCCCTCATAGGATGTTGAAGACTATGACGGGGGATGTTTGTGTCTGACGGATTGCTACATCGCAGGAGCATGCGGAATGGCAGTAGTTTGGTGGAGGTCCTCATCCAGCAGTGGATTGACAGAGGTCCGGGTCAGACACGCTCATGTTGGCAATTGTATGGAAGCACAAATGGGGAAAAAATGTTTTAAACAAAAATCAATGCCTACGAGAACAACATATTTTACGAGGCAGCGGCACGCTTCTCATTGTGGCACTTTGGCATCACTGTGCTGCTGCTGTTGCCGTGCTGGTGGACAGATGGAGGACACGGTGAAGCGCATGCAGGAGGAGGACGTGGGCGTGCCCGTTCGCACCGTCAAGGGCTTCATGACCAAGATTCCGAGCGTCTTTACCGGTGCGTAAGAAAAGCCAAATAGAAATACCACCCCCTACCCAATAGCCTTAACAGACTGTTAGGGCACAAGATGAGCGTGGTGTGGCCAGCCCCAATGCCCCGGCCGCTTCTGTCTCCCCAGTGTTTATGATTACACGCCACACTGGGTACACATTTAAGGCTGAGTCGACCTAAGGGAGGCCCGCAACCGTTTCAGATATTCGTCACTGTTATTGGTCGTGCGTGGGAATCGAACTCAGGTGACCCGGGTTCGTAGCGCGCACACAGTGACACGCATAAACACCTGTGACAAAATCACCACGATTGCCCGACCACATCACATTGGAGCAGGCACAAGCCTGGTTAATGATTGGATGGGAGACTGAGAATCGCAGGTGTTGTTGGCATGGGGCTGTGAGGTGGCCAGGAGATGGCATTGTCCCGTGTCATCCCCTCGAATGCGTGGGGTTTTCTCTGGGTTCTCTCGTTTCCTCCCACAGGAAGCCAAGCACTGAAGAATGATAATGACCAAATGTCCCAATCCAGGATTCTCGTGAAAAAGAGTCTCAATACTTTACTAACAGAGCCATGAATCTGTCCACGGTACTGGAAAATAATACTTGACCCCTTGTGTGATTTTGCTAAATATGTTGTTCGCGAGCTAATAAAGTTAATATCTTATCATTATTTAATTCAAACGCTCTCACTAGCTGGACTTTTCTCAAACTGACCACAGATGGCTTTGCAAATAATGATGCCCTTGCCCTTGAGCACCACAGCTTGTCCAGACAATGACACGAGGATCTGCCGCATCTCCTTTGGAGCAGGCATTGTCTGCACTGACGCTGAAGCAGTTTGGGGAATTTTTTTACTCCCGTCTGCCCATCGTCATTATTCTACAGAACGTAATCACACGAAAAAAAGAGACATTGGCAAAATATCTATTTTTTAACGAACAAGGATTAAGCTTTTTTTTCGTGAGCAGCCCTCAGCCAGTGGTGGACATTCGACATCAGGAAGCTGCAATGGTGTATTGACCAGCACGCTGGACTTGCAAATCAGAGGTCACTGGTTCAACCCTATCTTCAAGCGTGGCAGTTGAAACTAGGGTGCGAGTTTCTCAACCACCCTTCCCCACCACCTCTGTCCACCCAGCAGTATGATTGGATTCACCACAGTTAGTCGATCGGCAGGCCACGTGTGGTGGGGTAAAGCTTGGGTACTCCCACTTCCAACATGTCTGCTCAGCGTGGCAGAGTATACCAAACACCCTCTAGAGCTCCGTCTAGTGGCAGCCCTTCTACCAGCAGCAGCTTAAGCAAGCAATTTCAGGTCTGCACCTGTATCTCTGATATGGGTGGAAGCCAGTCTGCACTGAAACGCCTGGTAACCCTATTCTTCAGGGCAATTCAGTGCATTTACGAAGCAATGCTGCAAAGCATGTTGTAAATCCTCGAGAAGTCAGACTGTTATATCGCAAGGTATTGAGAGATGGTGAGATGGCTTGGAGAGGCCTTCATCCAGCAGTGGAACTGATCGTGGCTTCTGATGATGACAATGATGATGAATATTTTTTCTGCTACAAGGCAATGTTAACGATTAATTCGTGAATTATTCTAATACGTGATTATGAGAAAAAAAAACCCAGGATGTATGGACATTACAGATCTTGCGGCAAAGGTAAGCTGTCATGTATGTCAATCAAAACAATTATCCACAGTGAAATTACAAAAAAAGTAATGTTCATTCTATATTAAGGTCCAGATCTCCCTTGTGACAGATATATTACATTTCCAACAGCTCTCACCTGGATAAACAAAGCAATTTGAATGGAAATTGAGTGATATATGCACAAGCACTGCCTTCTGGGTACATTTTAATATCGGAGTCTAGTTTGTAATATGGAAAAGGCGAAGGTGCAGCCCCTGGAATGGGCTTCATCACGCCAATGTTGAGAGAAGGGCCTCCTCTATAGGGAGCTCTCCCCACCCCCCCCCCCCCCCCCCCCCCCCCCCCCCCCCCCCCCCCTCTGGAGGATAGTTTGGCCTACTCTGCAACACTGGTCAGACGTTCTGAAAGAGGGTTACCCACACTTAACCCCAACCTGATCGACTAGCTCTAGTGAACCCCTTTACATCGCTGGGTGGACAGAGGCGGTGGTGGAGGGGGTGGGTGGAGGGGGTGGATTTAAGAAACTTGCCCCACTCTATCAACTGCCACGCCAAGGAGATTGAACCGGCGACCTCTGGATCGCACAAGTCCATTGCTGCTGACCATTAACATCACGGAAGCATCCTGATGTGGATATGATCGTATGAAACACATTGCAGCGATCCACACGTGAAGTTTGTACGGATTTTTTTTTTAGTGTGGCTCTTGTTTGTTGCACCTTACAGGGGCAGATATCATCCAATGGCTCATGAAAAACCTCAGCATCGAAGACCAAGGTATGTGCATTGAACCTCCACTCCGATCCCCCAAGCTCGCCCCCACACTCGCGCACCTCCCTCTCCCTGCCCTCGTGCCTCCCCGCATGCTCTTCTCTTTTTCTACGAACAATATTTCTAAACAACCAAGAAAAAAACAACGACGTTCAAATGGAATTAGATACGTGCTGAAAGACGCGGGGAGGGTAGGAGGGAAGGTTGGAATATTTTGCATGTGAATGTGTTTGAACGTGGGTGTTTTATGCAGAAAAGAAATACGGATTAAGAATACTGTGTCTCTATGGAATTTGTGTGCGAGTTTGTGGGGAGCGGTGGTGCAGTTGTTTGAATCCAATCTATGTATCACGCAAACTCCGGTCATCTTCGCAGCGGCTTTTGGCTAACAATCGAACAAAGAAGGTCACTGCATCGCGTCCTTTCAGATGCGCTTCTGGGGCCGTCTGGAACGCTCTCCTTCTGTGATTCGGAAGCCACTGGAGCTATGTACTTTTACATTTTCTTTAGAACTGCTTGTTGTTGTTTTTAGTTTGTTTTCCTTCCCCCGCCACTTGAATTAGCACGGTTGGCTACGTACGGTGCGAAAGAAGTTCAACATGCGTACATCGCCATTTAATTAATTATGTACACGTGTGAAGAAACCCAACGACACAGATTCGATGCCTGGCACCATCAGTAACCGGTGGAATCTGAACCTGTCATGGGCTGCGGGATTTGGACCATTCACCTCTACATTGCCCAGCGAACTCGCTTTCGCTGGGCAATGTCACACTACCCATATGAACTGAACAACGTACATTTTACCAGGTAAGGCCCACTGAGCTATATAGCTCTTTTTCAGAAGCAACCTGGCCACAGATGGTAGCTCAACGTAGTGGCATATCATGTGCAAATGTATAGCAGCCAGATATTATGAACGCATGTTTCTAAATGTGGAGAGAAAAAAGCAAAGGCGTCAGGCACGTGATCGAACCGACGACCTCCTAACATCTCGCCACCGTAGCGCCAAGTATATACATACGCTCGAATGTCGGACACTTAATTTTCAACAGCTTTTGAAGACGAAAAAGCTGCTGCTGCTACGTTTGAATAATTTTATTGATTTCACTGCGCTGTATTAAAATACCATTCTGGAAGGGAGAGAGAAAGAGAGTGCTCAAGATCAACATTTATGTGTGTGCTTCACAGCCCTCCCGGCCTCACGGTCCATTACACGCGTGGACAATAACGGGGTCGTTGTAGGTCAGAGGTTACAAAAAAATGCGGGGTCCTGATCTTTGTGTCCTCCTTTCCTGCATTGATCGCAGCGGTAGCTGTGGGAAATTGTACACGAAATCGCATCGATACGGCACAAATGACAAAACGGTGCATATAGTCTGGTGGGGTAGGGTGGGAGCCGGAGCCGTAACTCGGGACAAACACCGATGTTTGAGTTCATTCTGACATTAATTGCAATTGACTTGTGCAACTCAATTTAGAGCGCCATGACTTTAGGACGCTGCTGAGGTTGTTTCAGAAGACGGTAACACGAGATTCCGTTGAGTAAATGAAATGGAATTAAGTGCTGGGTTGCACAAAGCGCGCAGCCCTGGGAAGGAGCAAGTGGGAACTCGTGACCCGTCTGTAAGTACCAGGGGCAATGTAGTAAAAGTCTGGTGTTTACTGTTCATAACTGCAAGCCTCTCTAAAGGGGCTCTGTAATTGCTGTCTGTTTGTCGAGGCATCAGGCAGCGAGGGAGCAGATTGCGAAGGGTTTGAATGGTCAAATATCACTGCAGACCACTAACACTGTACAGCGTCATGGCCACTCAGTGTACGGTACAATACAATTGTAAAACACAGTACGGTTGCCACCTCTGGGGTACAGAAATCAGGACGTATCATGGGAAGATTAATATTTCAGAAAACCGGAAGAGGGGAGAATTACGTACAAATTAATTGTCTCGAGTGATGTACTGCTACTCACCCAAGAAAATGGATGGACCGGGGAACCTCACCCCGGAATCAGCCTTGTATAGTTGTATATTGGGGACATGCTGAGCATGCCTATGATGACATTCCTCTAAATGTGCCCGATCTCATCAGATCTTGGAAGCTAAAGCAGCCTGGTTAATGATTGGATGTGAGACTGCCTGGTAATCGCAGGTGTTGTGAGTTTTAAGCACGAGGCTGTAATGGGTGGCGAGATGGGGGATGGTCAGTGCCACTCTCTTGTGTGCGTGGGTTTCCTCTTGGGCATTGTCAGCTGGGCCAGCCAAAACCCCAGGCTTTTAGGGGCTGCAACCCCAAAGCATTCGGTCTTTTGAGGAATACTGCCCCTCCAAAGATAAACAGATAAATGCTGCTCAATATTGTTAAAATGCAATACTGTAGCACAATTGTAAATCTCATCGGGTAATTTGGTAATTATTCAAGGTAATATGGTCAGAGAATCACACCGTGTGTGGCGATCCAGTTTTGTGCGTCTAACATTCAATTGGGCTTGCTCGTTTTCAACATTGGTTTAGCTCCGCAATTCGCGCATCGCATTCGTATGGTATACATTAAACCACCGATACATGTTGAACTTCTTTCGCACCGTACGTAGCCAACCGCGCTAATCGGCGATGCGGGGTGGGGAAGGAAGCAATGGCAAGGCAAAATGTACAAAGAAGACCCCCCCACCCCACCCAAAAACTACAACATCCCCCGGCCCCCTTCCATCTCACTTAACCGGTGGCCCTGACTGTCAGCGCTTCGATGAACGTGACGTCTGCCACTGCCTCCTCCGTTGTCCTCTCCCCCTCCCTCGTGTGTCCCGTCGCCCAGCCGAGGCCCTGCACCTGGGCTCATTGATTGCGGCGCACGGCTATTTCTTTCCCATCTCCGAGCACGTCCTCACGCTCAAAGACGACGGCACCTTCTACCGATTTCAGGTCAGGAGTCGCCGCATTAATCAGTATGCTTGCTGGGACCTTACGCCTTTTCTCTCTCTCTCGTTCTCTCTGTCCCACCTCTCTCTCTCATTTGTATGTTTAGGCAGCGGTTTTTTTACACCTCTGACAAGAAGATATGAGCAGGGAAGGCTTTCCTGAGTAGCCATTTACGCCTCTTGTGATTTCCCCCCCACTCCCCCAACTCGTGATTCGATGAATTTTGAGATGATGATTTAATGAAATAATATTTGTTTACGTTGTTGTAAACATAGCACCACTGGTGGCTTGCAGAGGTCGTGGGAGTGAATTATGGGAACCAAACAAATCTTACATAATCAATTCTCGCGCGCATGATTAACGCGCACGCTGCGAGAGTGACGATCGATTGTAATCGATGAATTGATGCTTCGTTACATGCCTGCCTTGAAAAGGCATTTGCCCAGGGTTGCTTCAAGGGGTCCTCAGCAACGCTCACATTGAAAGTCAGTGCATTGGCACAGCAGCCTCCAAGACGCCTGCTGGGTTTGGCGGTAAACACGTCAAAGAGCTGTGTTGCTGTAGAGCCATTTGCGCATATCAGAATCAGAATCAGAAAGGGTTTTATTCGCCATGTAAGTTCACACCGACACGGAATTTACTTTGGCAGGATGGTGCATACATTCAACATATAGGAATCTAAAATCTTAAATAAGTTTTAAACAAGTCTTACTATAATAAGGGTTAAAAGTCTAACACTAAGGGGCTGAAGTATATAAAATTAAATAAATATCGAATATAAAATAGCTTTAAGATATAATTAAAAAATACAAATAGGGAAACATAGTTAATATCAGCAACGTGTCGTTATGTAGATCAAATGTTAAAAACAGTGTTAGCCCTTGGCCTTGTTTAACAGGCCAGCAGCAGATGGGAAGAAACTGTTTTTATGGCGTGAGGTTTTGGTCCTGATGGACCGAAGCCTTCTGCCGGAGGGGAGTAGCTGAAACAGAGAGTGTCCAGGGTGGGAGAAATCGGCCATAATCTTCCTCGCTCGCCTCATAGACCTTGTCGTGTGCAGGTCCTCGAGGGTCGGTAGATTGCAGGCAATTACCTTCTCAGCAGTGTGGATGATACGCTGCAGTCTGCTCTTGTCCTTGGCAGTGGCAGCAGCGTACCAGACGGTTATGGAGGAGGTGAGGATGGATTCAATGATCGCTGTATAGAATTGCACCATCATTGTCTTTGGCAGGTTGAATTTCTTCAGCTGCCGTAGAAAGTACATCCTCTGTTGAGCTTTCTTGGTGAGGGAGCTGATGTTCAATTCCCACTTGAGGTCCCGGGAGAGAATAGTGCCCAGGAAGCGGAAGGACTCTACAATTTTTACTGGGGAGTCTAACAGGGTGATGGGGGTGAGTGGTGCTGTATTCTTCCTGAAGTCCACAACCATCTCAACTGTCTTTAGAGCATTTAGCTCTAAGTTGTTCTGGCTACACCAGGTCACCAGATTGTCAGCTTCCCACCTATAGTCAGACTCATCCCCACCAGAGATCAGCCCAATGAGGGTGGTGTCATCCGCAAACTTCAATAGTTTGACGGACAGATGATTGGAGGTGCAGCTGTTGGTATACAGGGAGAAGAGCAGAGGGGAAAGGACGCAGCCCTGAGGAGTTCCGGTGCTGATGGACCTGGAGCCAGAGACTTGTGTTCCCAGCTTAACGCACTGCTTCCTGTCAGACAGGAAGTCTGTGATCCATTTACAGGTGGTGTATGGCACGTTCAGCTGGAAGAGCTTGTCCTGAAGCAGGGCAGGGATGATGGTGTTGAAGGCAGAGCTGAAGTCCACAAACAGGATCCTGGCGTAGGATGCTGGGGCGTCCAGATGCTGTAGGGTGAAGTGGAGGGCCATGTTAACTGCATCGTCCACAGACCTGTTGGCTCTGTAGGCAAACTGAAGGGGGTCCAGGAGAGGGTCTGTGATGGCTTTGAGGTGTGCCAGGACCAGGCGCTCAAAAGACTTCATTACCACAGATGTAAGGGCGACCGGTCTGTAATCATTTAGTCCTGTTGGCCTTAGCTTTTTGGGCACAGGGATGATGGTGGAGGACTTGAGACAGGCTGGTACATGGCATGTCTCCAGGGAGGTGTTAAAGATGTTGGTGAACACCGGAGACAGCTGGTCAGCGCAGTGCCTGAGGGTGGCTGGAGAGACAGAGTCCGGCCCGGCTGCTTTGCGTGGATTCTGCCTCTTGAAAAGTCTATTAACTTCTCCCTCCTGAAAGGAGATAGTCGTCTCTGTAGTATTGGTGGGGGATGGGGCCTCTTGGGTTGGAAGGGGTGGTTCAGGACAGTCCAATTGTCTTTCAAATCTACAGTAGAACTCGTTCAGGTCGTTGGCTAGGCGGGAGTCGTTAGTGGTGTGGGGGGCTCTGGGTTTGTAGTTGGTGATCTGCCTGAGCCCTCTCCAGACAGAAGCAGCGTCGTTTGTAGAGAACTGGTGTTTTAGTCTCTCTGAGTACAGTCGTTTAGCCTCTCTCACCGCTTTGCTAAACCTGTTCTTCGACTCCTTGAATCTGTCTCTATCTCCACTCCTAAACGCTTCCTCCTTCTCCAACCTCAACCTTCTGAGCTTTGCTGAGAACCAGGGCTTATTGTTGTTAAAGTTCACACTGGTACGTGTTGGGATACAGCAGTCCTCACAGAAGCTGATGTAGGACGTCACAGCCTCTGTGAGTTCATCCAGACTATTGGTAGCAGTCGTGAACATATCCCAGTCAGTACAGTCTAAGCACGCCCGCAAATCTTCCACAGCCTCACTGGTCCACTGTTTAGATGTCCTCACAGCAGGTTTACAGAGTTTTAGTTTCTGCCTGTATGCAGGAATCAGGTGGACCATGGCATGGTCAGAGTGTCCTAGTGCTGCTCGGGGGACGGCGTGGTAGGCTCTACTGACTGTAGTGTAACAGTGATCCAGAGTGTTCCCTTCTCTGGTTGGGCATTTAATGAATTGTATGTATTTGGGGAGTTCGTGGCTGAGATTACCTTTGTTAAAGTCGCCAAGTACGATAACCAACGAATCTGGATTTGCTCGCTCCACACTCAGAATCTGATCGGCGAGCATGCGTAAAAAAAAAACCAGTACTGTTCAGTCGGCGTTATTAAGTTCGGTTGAAGGTGAAAACATATCGCTGAGATTTGCCACGCATGCATCGAATGCTAGTCACCTGTAATATGTATGTATATATGTGACAGTATTTATGTGTAGGCGGGCATCATGTTTCCACGTGCGCTTTATCCGCAATATCCTGCTTACTGTGGATGTGGTGGCACCTAACGTTCATTGTTTATATCTCTAAATCTAGGAAATAACCTTCTCGGCCGCTTCATATGAACGCGTAAACTTCTGCTTAGCCTCACTTTCTCGCATTTTTTTTCTCCAAAAACACATTTTGAAACGTGAAAATATGGTGTGAGTAATAATATAATAATGGCAAAAAAATAAAATGTTGGTAGTTGTTGTTGCATGCTGCTATGCCAGCACCTCATGAATTATGGATCAAGGGAACATCCAATTTAAGAACTATTTATTTTTCCAGGCATTGTACACAAATAAATAAAAAAGCAAGGAAATAATGAAACTAATAGATAATGGCACCAGTACAATTATTCCGTTTCGTCCAGGCGTATTTATTTATTATTTCTCCACAGCGGGAGAGACCGTGGATGCCTGCATTGTCAGCGTTTCTTAAGCGATTAAAGGAGCTAAAAACACACACACACAAGGAAATTAAACGGCCGCGGGGAGAGGGGATTTAAAAGCCGAAGAGTATTTTTTTGTTGCATCGGCATCGAACAGATGACCATTGTCCCGCAAATACACGACACGCAGATGTGAAACTGTACAATAAATATGCTGCGGTTCCCTCGATTGAGTCCAGCAAAATGCCTTTTGAGTCTCGACATTCACTTGAGTCTCTTTGTTTTTTTTTGTTACAGAGGATCTTACTTAAGATGTTTGCCCAATTCCTTTCAGAATATATATTTTTTAAACCCGCACTTTCCCCAACAGTCTGTTGAAGGCCATATGGGAGTCTTTATGTTTTTGTATTTCATGCATGTGCACCCGATGTAATGGGCATATAAATTAATAATTTGACACGAAGGCTTTCGCGACCAATATGATTCATAATTAAGGTTTGTTGGGTTAGATCGCTTAAGTATAAATGTGTCGTTAACCCGTCACCACCCGACACAGCCCATTGGCACAAAACCTGCCAATTGGCACATCTTGTTGACACGACAAACCTTACTAATTGGCTGTGTCGGGTGGCGGCGGGTTAACAACACATTTATACTCACGTGATCTAACCCCAAAAAACCTTTTATAAATAAATTAATAATCCCTACAACCAGCGTAAGAGTCTGGAAATCATAAACGTCCAATCCCTTGTATTTTTTGTCTTGATTAATTTGTTGTGTTGCGGATAATCGGTAAACAGGTTACGTGTCATTCTAAACTTACATATGCGCACTGATGGTAAAGTTCAGCTAGACGTGTGTGTGTGAGCGAGCTATGATTGGGAACCAGCAGAGGTTTTAAAAACACACAAGGGGCCTCTTATTTTACATTTCTCCAGATAAGTCGTAAAATGTAATACGTCTGTTACCCTAAAATAAAAAATAACACCGCCCCGCGCTATATGTCCGTGCGTATCAGTCCGCAGCATGTTCGTACTCGCCCATTGTGAATGAAAAAAAATATCAAATAAAAACCGTGATAAATTGCAGCAATTGTACATTCCAAAATAGCAACGTGTCAAGATTTTAGATGCTCACGATTTTTTTATAACAAAAGTTTTACATATATAAAATTGGCCAGCGTAAGAACAAACCCTGCCAAGTTTAGCAGATTGTAACTTAAAATACTAATTTTAGCCTTTAGAAAAAAAATCTTCTATTTATAAATTCTCGCGGTGAATAATATGATATCAGCCACTGGAAATAACGGTGCTCCTGGAAACGGC